ACGGCAAAACTTGGAAAACTGGATGGTTGCACAGCACATTTTGCTATTATTGTGCAAGATCCACTAATGCAGTATTTCAACAACGGGGGATTGGAAGGGAAAGTCGTTCCCATGGCCTTCGCGATCACCAGGCTTAACTTGTCTTGATTTTTATTTATGGGGACGGTTAAAGGACATCGTGTTTCAGACTCAACCTACAACCGGAGAAGATTATGAAAAAACGGATTCGTAATGCGATATGCACAACACACCTAGAGCCGGAATTGAAGCTGCAGTTTTGTCTACCCATAAGGGGGTTCATTTTTTTTAAAGCGGTCACGTTTAAGGCCACATTTTGATAATAAAAAGAAATTCCAGAAAAGTTAGTTTGAAAAAATGGAAATTTAAGGGATTTCCGTATAAAACTTTCTTTGGTATAAATTTTAGGTTAGGAACTAGATATCGAGAGACGGTTTTCGCGAGTAGCATTTAGCTACTTTTTCATAAAACAAATCATATCAATGCATTTAATTTTCTTGAGAAAATGAACCATTTCTGTCGGAATGTCGAAAAAGCTCTCTACCGGTCATATGTGAAACTAACATAACTTGAAATATTTAAAATTTGCAGCCCAAGAATAGCTCTTTTAAACTAGTCCAAGTTTAATGAAATCGGCTCCGCCGTTTCGAAGATACAGGGTGTTCTTTACGAAAACTTTTGAATACCCCCACCACTTTAGTTTTAGAGATTCAGCAAAATTTCTTAAACAAAAAAGGTTCATTTTATCATCGAATTCAAAGATCAGGTATTTTTCTGTTAGGTTAATATAGTGGAATTCACTCTTGGATTCAAGATTGCAGTTACGCCCCCTAGTGACCATTTCAGAAACTGTTTTTCTCTTGGCCATTTTAGTAATATCTGTTTTTCCGCAAGTCTCTACGATGGATAGGTTCCCAGATACAGTACCTCGCAGTCTTAGTTGGCCACCCTGTACATGTAGAGTGAGATACTGAAAAAAATTTAAGTTTGTATCGGATATAAAAGGAATAATTATTGATTTTTCTTCAAATTATTGGCTTTATTGGAAAGGTTAAGCCTTGACATTTAAGGTGGGTGGTCTCGCTTTTTTATGCTGTTTTTCTGTGGCCGCTAAATGGATTTTTGTGATGGTCTGTGGCGGTGCATGCTTTAGTAACGCTACTATTAGGTTTTATACACTTTATTCAAAAATTAACGAATTTTTTTGGTCCAATTTTTTAATCTTATTTCCATTCTTCCTCAAAAAATATCAGTGCGATCGTGTTCAAATTTCGTGTCCACATTAAATTTAAGTACGTTCATGTCATCTGATAACTTTTCTACCTACCTTTTTTATCATGTCGTGGACGGCCCACGACATGTAGACAATAATATACTGTCGATATGTGAAAAAAATTTCAAGATTGCTTAAAAAATCAACGAGATAATATGGAAATAAGACGAAAAAATCTATTCGATCACGCTCTCCACTCGCTCCACCCACTTGCCAGACCCAAGATGTCAAGCGTCTCGCTGTATCCAGCCTGGTTGTCAGATTGTTGAAAACAAGAAAATTTCAGAAACCATGCGCATGTTATAGTTACATTGACAACTTGTGACACTTGAAATAGACATAGAGATGCGAAAATTTCTTCTTTACAAAATGCTGCCGCAGCATCACGGATTTATGCGGATCGGTTTCCCAATCGAGTGCAACCAACCCCTCGTGCCTTTGTTAATGTAGTACAAAGGGTTCGTGAATCAGGTGACTTAAGACCTCACAGGGGAGAGCATGCCGGTGCTCCAAGACCGCACGATCAAATACAGGTCCGCACTGAAATACTTGTCGGGAGGATACTTTATAAAACAAGGTAACATTTTTTTTTATTTTTTATTTTATTTTTACACACATATTTTGGTTTATCTTCCCTCTACATTCATTATCTGAAAATAAATGACTCAACTTCAAAGTCACCCTGTATGTCATTAGGTAAGTTGTTTTACTTGGTGCAGGTAAAATCATTTTTGTAGTTTATTAATTTTAAGTTGATTGGTGCGCTCAATCTAAGTAAACCGTTTATTAAACTCAATCAAACGATTGCATTTGACTTAATTAGACTAGAGTCATGGATACAAGAAAAATGTTTTAGAAATCGAACTTTAATTGAAGTACATTAAACTTGTTAGCTGTCACAATGTGCTTAATTAAAATTTGAATTGGTTTAGCTTTTTTCGTCAGAGCCTTAAATTTCAAATACAAATGGTCCACTCTGCAGTCTGTAGAATCAATTGTGATTCTATTGAAGCTCGTTCTTATCTAAAAAGTTCAATTTTATCAGCGAGATTATTTTTTGTGTTCTAATTATTGTATGCTAGGGGTTGACAAGTTATTCTGAGACATACCTTTCTGTTCAACCGTAAAAATTCAACCTTCTTTTTTTTAATTCGCACTTTGCAATGAAAGGTCAGTACTGTTCTAAGACACATATACCTTCTTATCATGTTATTGAGCTTGTCGAATTCGAAAATTGATGCTGACAGTCGAATAAAATATTCCGTGACAAAATGAATTGCCGAAAAAACATCAACAGTGCCCTGTAAAATCCAAACAAACAATAAATAACCAGAATGCAAGACACACGCATTTCGAGCGCAGGCAAAACGGGTCATTAAGGAAGCTGTATGTTTAAATACGGGGTTGGCCATGATAAATGACAAGGAAGTAACTGGATATAGACACCCAGAGCTGCTAGGCAAAAAACGCAACGATTTTTTCTCCTTCTCTACCATCGGTGCATAGATCGTAACACTGTCTCTCTCTAGAGAAGGTTTGTCCTGGGACGAATGCATGGTATTTTAAAGACAGAACACCTATATGCTACTTTTCAGTGGGGTACTGGCTGGGTGGTCAAAATGATGCATGGAGACACATTAGCAAGAATCTGCTATGAATTTCAGGATAGTGTATCATTTGCTAATAAATCTCAAATTTTGACGATTTGTCAAGAGGGTTAAAGAAAAATTATATTATATAACAATAAATTAAATTCGTACTTACTTACTTGTTTGTTGATAGTATTTAATCAAACTGTTTCCTCTTATTTTGACGGCATAAGATATTTTTATGACCCTCGTTCAATTGTTACCATCTACCACACGACCCTTGTAAACATAATTGTGTTTATTGACATCAATAAACGAATTAAAATTTGAGTTTTTGAATTTATTTTAGGAAAGATATAAAATTATTTGAATACATTTTTTCTTAGTCGGAACGCACCTTCACGTCGCTTGGACTGGCAGGACGAAACATAAGATGAATTTCGCCGAAAAACCGATTTGCATTTCACAGCTTACTTTTTATTATTTCCAAATGAAACTCTTGCAGCGTGCTATAAACAAAGTCCACAGGGTGTCGGCGATCCACTTTTTTGATTTTATCCACTAGGATCTTTTTAAAATATCAAGAAGTTGAGCACAAACAGTGAGCATTTCAACCCACTATAATTCTTGCGCAAAGACAAAATTTTGTAAAAAGCTCTGATAGCACCCTAGGCAATTATGGCCTGCTTATATAAAGAAAAACATCACAAACTGCAGAACACAAAGGGTAACGGCGAAATGGGTCCATTTCACGGGTCATGAAATTCAAATGAAAATGCAGGTATAAAATCTACCAAATGATCGTTCTCAAAAACCTATTTCCTTGACATATCGATAATTTTAAAGTTCCACTCTAAATTCCCCTATACTTGACTGGAGTGATATCAGAATTTATTCTGCCCTACTGTCGGTAGTTGCAGATCTGTTGGCTGTTGATGTCAAACCTATAGAGCAGGTACCGATTTTTTGAAACCGTGAGCACATTATTCGTCGGATTTTCGATACTCAAATTTCCTGTAATCACTGGGATCAGAAGCTTCTTAGTAATAGAACGTGTTTCACTGATCTCAGCTCCTCCTTTTTAAGCAGTACAATTTTTTTATGTCAATGATTAGGAACCCCTGAAACGTCAAGAACGGAGTTTCAGCAATTGTTTCTTTATTGCCTATAGCACCGTTGCCTCTGGACTAAAACTACAAAGCTTTGGCATACTAGTAACCGCGTGTGGAAATTTCATAAAAATCGGAGCGGTAATTTCCCAGTTGATGATGAGTGATACAGTTTTTCGTGATGTAGATGTCATATGAATTAAAAAAATAACATCTCATTTTAGAAATTTTTCGCGGTTACAATACTTCCTCGCCAATGACGTGGGAAGTAAAACGGCTTTAAAATCGAGGAGTATCAGCGATCGCGATTATGAGTACCTATTTGCAGAAGGACTTATCTATGCGATATTATATGAAATAGGGCCACCAAATTGAATGAATGAATGAATACGTCCTTTCTTAGTCCGTACATTGCGCTTGGTTTGGCAGCACGAAACAGTAGACAAAAATCGTCCAAAATACGATTTGTAGAGGTTTGCGCGCTTCGAAATTGACGCTTTATTTTTTGATATTTTTGGATAAAATTTTCACAGAGTGCTGAAAGCAAAACCCCACAGAGTGCTATAGAGCCACTTTTTAATTTTTTTCACTAAGTTCTTTTTGAAAAAATCGCGAAGTTGAACAGAAAGAGTGCGCACTTCAACCCATCATAAAACTTGTGCAAAAACAAAATTTCAAAAAGTGCTCCTATAGCACCCTGGGCTATTATCTTCTCAACATACTGTATAAATTCCATTCAAAAATATTGAAAAATGGAGTGTGTACAAAATGTAATAGAAGGTTCGCGCACAGGACTGCTTCAGTGGTGCATATGCAATCGCACATCGCTGATAATCCATTTGGCTGCCCAAAATGTGATAAGCCGTTCGGATTGAAGCACTACTTATCAAAGCATCTTCGGACCCATACTGAAGAGAAGCTATATAAGTGCAAAGAGTGAAACAAAGCTTATACAGCAAGGTCTACCTTGAAAGCACACATGCGAAACAACACTGGCGAAAGACCTTATGAATGCAAGCGTTGCGGAAAGACATACAAACAGAGGAACGGCTTGATAGACCACATGAAGGCTCAACTTGTGTACAAGATTGTAATGAGTGTGGTCAGATATTTCACAAGAAGGATCTCTTGGATTTACATAAGCAAGGCAATGCTAAAGACGAGAATTATGATTGCGGAGAATGTGGCGTTGTTTTCACGGAGAAGTCTTTATTAACCGCGCATATGCAAACTCATACTGAGGACAGGTCGTAAGATTTCAGTGATTTTTCAGACTTTCATATTTATCGGTCAATATACTTGAAATGTTTTACAATTTGATATGACACGCTTGTTCAATTTAAATCCATCTTTGTCAAAGAAAAAATTTAATGGCAAATGTATCTACAAGTAATTACCACTACAGTTAAGGCACATATCCCATTGTTTCACCAATCGATGTATGCCCTGCTTAAAGAATTCTTGTGGCAGCTGCTTGGACAATTATTGTACAGCATTTTGTACTTCTTCTTCCGACTGAAAATGCTCACCTTTCAACGCCTTTTTCACTAGCCCAAAGTTGTGAAAATAAGCGATAAATCGTGACTATAGGGTGGATGCTCTAATATCCTCCATTTATTTTGTTGTCGATTTTCTTTCACCACTCTGGCAACATGACGCCGAGCATTGTCGTGCGTTTTCGTCTTATTGCTTGATAGATAGTGTTCAAAGTTTCATGATATAGGTCCTTCATGATCGAAAAAAAATGTTAACATGACCTTGCCTGCACAAGATTGAACTCTCTACTTTTTGGTAGTGGAGAATTTGCGTGTTTCCATGGCATCGATGACAGCTACTGGATGGTTCAAAATAATGACACCAAGATTCGTCGCAAGCAATTATTGACGAAAGAAAGTAATTACAATTTTGCTTGTATTCCGTGAGATATTGCAAAGGTAAGCCCATTCGCAAGCTTCTTTGGTCCTCTGACAAAAGGCGAGCAACCCATTGCGCACAAGCTTTGCTGGGAAATATAATAGGAAACACCGTTTTGAAAATATACATTTATTGATTTATAATATACTATAAATTTATATATAAATAAATAATTCGGTTCTATAGTAACATACATACATGATATCTATGAATCAATGGCACTACATTTCTTTGGCACTATGGTTTCCATTTTTGGTACGTACTAACATTATTTAGTCATGGTAAATTTGTGTATAGTCACCTGAGATTCAGCTTTCTTACGTCTAGAATGACATTTCGAAAAATTAAATAACTACACCTCTCCAATTATATAAAATTAGGTAAGTTCATCTTAATAGCATATTTTAGAAAATACAAGAATACAGGATAGATCTCATACGGTTTACTCATGTATCCAGTACCATCTTTTACAGATGCATCTTTAAATATGTTTTTTTTTCTTTTTTCCCAGAAAAGACTAATATTTGATATACCGACTGTTTCGATATGACTTTCGCCATTTGAAAAATATTTATTATATACAAAAGGTCTTGTCTTTAATTTAGCAATGTAGATCTAGGCGAAGTTTGAGTGTTTTGTTTGGTGCTGGAAACAGTAGTAAATTGACTATATTTCTACGCCTTTGTTGTAGACTTCAAAGAAAATGGATGAGTCAAATCCTTTTAAAAGGCGAAATCGAATCTTGATTAGGTAGGTTCACTTAAGTACGATTACTCTTCGACCTCTGCATATCAACCTGTTTGAAGCACATCTAGCATATGTCTGTCTCCCTGACAGATGTAGGGTAAATATGTGTAACTTATGTCTAACAGGCGCATAGTATTATTGAGATCAGCAGCTTCTTAATAGCAGAAGGTCTGTCGCTGCCACAAAATATGCAACAATTTAGAACCATTTACCGCATACAGCTTCTAACATACAATTTCCTGCCACCTCTGAATCAATTTTCAAAATCTACAACTAGCTAAATGATAGTAATATTAAATTCGCGATAATATTCAAGCTCCGGTTCACAAGTTTTCTGTTGTTCAAAGCATTCTAGATCACACAAGTTCGTGGTTCTCATTTATGTCCGTGTCTGTTGTATATCAATGCGTCATAAGTGCTGAGTCAGTCTACTTGACGAAATATTCAGAAAACCATCATAGACGAAGTAACACATATTCAAGATTAGGCGAAATGGGTGGTACATTAACAACTCGTTCACACGATACGGTACGGCACGGGAATTTAACCGAAACGACATTTTAACCGAATCGGGTCCAGTGTTCACACGATGCGGTATAATATTTTTGCGCGGATACGCTTCTTGTCAGTTGTTGATTGAGTTTGGCACAATGAATGCAAATATGTTGGTTTTAATGTATTGGTATCGTAGACTCTGTAAAAAACGAGTAATAAGGAGATATTGGGAACACCCTATTATTAGAGAAAGATTTAATTTGGGGTCCTTCCGGACACTTATGTGTCAATTAAGAAGAGATGAAATTAAATTTTCCAATTATTTTCGGATGTCTTCCTCTACGTTTGATGACCTACTTAATAGAGTGAAAAAAGACTTAACTCGAGAAGACACAAATATGAGAACATGTATCAGTGCTGAGGAAAAATTGGTGATATGCTTAAGGTAGGTGTCATTTTTTAAAAACTTTATTTTATATACAAATAAACAAATCAAAAATTGGAAATATCTAGATCTAAAATAGAATCTTGGCTTGCAACAGACTGTGTAGAGGGTGACGGTTCGGCAGTATATGGACTAGTCATTGGTGTTGTTACTCTTGAAATTGTTTGTGGCTGTGGCTGACTGTAATAATCATGATTTTGCCAATTATTGTAATAAGTGGCAATTGTACGCGATGGCATTTGAATATTATCGGCCAACCTTCGCTTCTTTGCTCTCATATTTTGCAATAAACTTAACACACTCGACTGAAATTCCAAAGTTTCATCTTCATCAAACGATGATAATGATGGAAGAAGACTTTTGAAGAATGTAAGATGACGATTTTCATCCTCTTTGACTGTTGAAACCTTGGATAAGTTGATTTGATGGTCTATGAATCGCATCATTTTGGCATCAACTTCATTAATACTCCTCTTTCTGCGTGCAGTAGAAGTACTGATGGGAGTACTACCAGACTGATTTGCTTCCATATTCGGTTGTTCAGGTGGAACACTCTCTTCAATAACTTCTGCATCCAAGTCTTCTATCTCGGTGTTATTTTCATTATTAGTGTTTTCATGACAAACAGTTGAATCTGTAATTTTTTTCAGGAATGACATCTGCTCATTATATATATAAAGTCTTGAAGGTTTGGTCGATGTGCCACTTGTTTTTTGGTCTTTATGTTTTTTCAATGCTTTCATCCACGAGTCTCGAATGTATGTCCACTTTTTTAAAATCAGCTTACCTGGAACAAATAAAATAAAACGTTCCTTCCTTTCAGGTATCTAGCATCTGGGTGTTCGTATAAAGATCTGCATTACTCCTACCGAGTTGGTGTCTCAACAATTAGCAATATTGTGAGAGAAGTTACTCGGAGTATATGGAATAATATGGGTACTAAATTTATGGCATGCCCTGATACGCCAGATAAATGGGAGGAAATAGCGAATGGATTCTGGATGAAAACGAATTTCCCGCATTGCCTCGGTGCGGTAGACGGGAAACATATAAGACTGAGAAAACCCGATAACACTGGCTCTATGTACTTCAACTACAAAGATTACTTCTCTATTGTTTTATTAGCAGTCGTAGATTCAGAATATCGTTTTATATACGTGAATATAGGGTCCTATGGAAAAGATTGTGATTCGTCAATCTGGAAAGAATCTACATTGTGGAAAAAGTTGACACAGGGCGCTTTAAACATACCAACACCCAGACCTTTAGAACAGACACAAATAAATGTACCCTTTGTGTTTATTGGCGATGAAGGTTTCGGATTGCATGACAATTTATTAAGGCCTTTTGGCGGTACACATTTAGACAAGAAAAAGCGAATATTTAATTACCGACTTACTCGCGCTAGAAGATATGTTGAATGTGCATTTGGCATCTTAGCTAATAAATGGAGGATATTTCATCGTCCTCTAGATGTTAAACTAGAAACAGCAATATGGATAGTAAAAGCGTGTACTGTGTTACATAATTTTGTCCGAGAAAAAGACGGGTTTAATTTTGAAAACGCTCATTTGCCAGAAATCCACCTTGACAACTTACCAAAAGCACAAAATATACGAGGAGGACTATCTGCCAATTCCATAAGAACAACTTTTGCTGACTATTTTCTAACAGAAGCTGGTTCTGTTTCTTGGCAAGATGAAGCCATCGGTTAGTAAATTTATGTATGTCAAAATAAACAATAAAATACTTACCAAAAGCCTGCCTCTCCTTTTGTTCCATATCTTCGAAATTCTCCTTTAACAGAGAACATATCTCTCTCCATGCTGACGACTTTAAATTTTTGTCTTTATATGTGTCAAGTGTTTTATCCCATAAAGCGGGTCTCGCTTCCACTAAACTTATCAACAGCTCCGTATTTATTTTCTCCATTGTATATATGTAGGTATATACCATAAATATGAGCAAACTATTTAAAGCCGAAAACAAGTGCCGTTCGGCAAGATAATCGAATCGCGACTGGAGGTGAAATGGCCAATATACATTGTACGTGCCACTGAAGGCCGATTCGGTTTTTTTCCCGAACACAACCGCATGCGACCATACGGTTGCCAGTGGCGCGAACCGAATGCAAGTCCGAACGAATCGGCAGTTTTCCCGTATATGGGGTACGACCGCATCGTGTGAATATGCAGATTTAAAATATTGCGCCACTGCGAGATTCGATACTTTTACCGGTTCGATTAAATGATCGTGACCGAGTCGTCTGAACGAGCTGTAAAGGATCATAAGATTCAGAAAAATGAATGTGTAGATTTAAGAACAATTAAGACATGATTTACAAAAGCATCGCAGAACACCGAAGTGGTACGTACTCCTGATATCCAAAATATATATAAATATTTCTCCTATAGCGGTGTGTCAGTGACGACATCACCGCACATTAACCAGTTAGAGTTTGTTACCCATTGCACAGTTGACAGTATCCACCACAATGATGCAGCATCACGCCGTGCACGCAACGAAAACGATTGCCAAGTTATTTCGTATTTTGAGCAAAATATACATCTGACTTTTATCATTTAATTTTCCCGTTGTTAGCGGGATCAGAAGCTTATTAATGACAGCACGTCTTCGACTAATAGTGAAGGCCTTTTCTCGTCTGACTGGTTGTTTAGACGAGGTGTAACTCTAGCCTCATAATTAGAAATGCTGTTTTGTTCCACATGAAATATTTTTTTAGTGAAAACCGCGTGTCGTTAGTTTTTTTCTGGTTTGTGACCACACAGTTTTCAGCATCTAGTTTACCCACCTTATTTTAGTCTGACGTTTACAAGTATTTATAACCATCGATTTTTTCCCATTCTCATCGGTTGTCATAGACGAACCCCCTATATAAGGGGCTTATATTTGGCGAAGGTACTAAACAGGGTGCAAATATCACTTCTTATCTTAATCTGCCGCTATCGAAAGAATCCCCAAAATTCCATATCGGGCTCCTCTACTATATTTTATTATTAAGTGGTAGATTTGGACGTATAAGGAGATGGGTGTAGATCACCGAAATTTGTACAGTAAAAAGTAGAAATTAAGGGATCTACGGTAAATCAATAGCCAAAGATGATAATCGGTAGATTTACCGTAAGAATGGTAGATCTGGCAGCGCTGAACCACAAATTTTTTGATATTTCCAAGAACCCAATGGTGAGAATCAACTTCAAACACCGATATATTTCAGTGACTAATCCCACTATCGCGGTCCAAAATCATAACCATTCTGATGCAACCCAGCGCTTCTAAAATTCCCGTTATTTCCATAGAACCCCGTATAATTCCCATACATGGGCCTTCCAAAGTTTGGATTCCTCATTCCTTTTTCATTAGTATACACGGAATTGTAATTGTGAAGCAGATTGTGCGAATGGTAGACAGGCCCGTAATTGCACAATTCCCCTGAATATGGTTGAGTGATTGGACCGAGACCTGCTGTGATAAGGTTGGGTTGGTGCAAAAGAGATGGCGGTTGCGTCGTGGTCTGGAAACGGTTCTGGAACAACATCGAAGGGTGCGTGGAAGGGGTGGACTCCATTGGTTGATGGGGGGGCACTTGATCTTGAGTTTCTTCGTCTGGAAGAGAAAACAGGTGGTTAGAGCTAGTAATGTGCTTTCTAGTTTATTTCGGTGAACTAGTTCAAAAGTTCGCGCTCACGAAAACGCAAACGAACTATCTTGTACAAGAATAATGTTGGTGAAAGTGCTCTCAATCTTTCATCAGATCGCCGGAGTTAAGAAGCGTCGTGCGCCGTTGGTATTTAGATGGGTAATCGCTTCGGAACACCTCGTATTGTTAGTTTTTTTATTTGTTTATTAAGATGGACGTTTCAAATTCAAATTCTCAACGTAAATTGTTGCTTACATAGTAGCTAGGAGATTTACACATTTTCTTACTATCTCAAATAATGTGGGATACACTTTTGTTTTTTGTTTTCATCAGTTCCCAAGATTTTTAATAAATTATATACCTCAGATCAGGGTAGCCAGATGTCCTTCTTTCGGAAGAATGATTCTCTCTTTTAACACGCTTATATTAGCTTGGCCTGGATGTATGTAACGGAATCTTTGAGCACACTTTTCACCGATTTCCAGAAGTTTGATTCAATTGCTGCGCATGATTGCAGTTTTGGACTTACTCTTTGTTGGTTCGGGCACTCGGCATAGCACGACGGATGCAAATACTTTTCCAAGGTAGTGCATTCTCACCTTGCTCATTGCGAATGTTGCCATGAATCCTGAGTGGGGATTCGACCGTCCGCAAGATGCAAGGTTGTACAGTCGATCATGCCGTCATTTATCTAGGCTCTCGACTGTTTGCTGCTGCTTATGTAGCACCTGGTCGCGCAATATTTTAAGTTAACAGGAAAAACCCCATGCAACAGTGAAGCTTTAAATGAAATGATTAGATTACGAAATGATTCGTAAGATATTTCAATACCACATGTCCACAAAAAATTAATTGATAAATCGAACCAAAAAATTAAAAATAAATAATAGTTTAAAAAAATAAAAAGAACACGCTTTTATAGATAACCGAACTAAAAAGTAGAAAATAATTTTTAATTACGAGTTTATATTACAGTAGTAGATGGTCGAACAGTCAATCATAATTAATGACCTCAAAATAAAATTATAATAAAATTTAAGTTATTAACAGAATAATTTAATTCAGATTAAAAGGTGCATTTTACTACAATTAATAATTAAATTATTCTGTTAATAACTTAAATTTTATTATAATTTTATTTTGAGGTCATTAGTTATGATTGATTGTTCGACCATCTACTACTGTAAGATAAGCTCTTTGCAATTAAAAATTATTTTCTACTTTTTAGTTCGGTTATCTATAAAAGCGTGTTTTTTTTTAGTTCTTTTAAACTATGTATTATTTATTAGTGTTAAGCTCTGCTTTCTCTATTTTCCCCAAATTACCACCTTTGCCAGTTTCCCTCTATTATGGCACTACAATGATAGTTTGTTTACTTCAGTAGTACAGTTTCGGTGTATTTATGTTTTCTTTTATTTTTCATATTCTCACATTCTTGATTTGCTTTAATTTTGACATTTTCTGCTACGAAGAAAGGTTGGTACTGCTTCCAATGATAGCCTTACTTATTGTAAACACAGATTCTTTGTTCATGATGAAGGAAAGTGCACTAAACCTAATGTGATCAAAAGCAAAGGTACATTTGTGCAGATGTGATCCAATTTACTCCATGATTAGATGCCTTAACATTCATATATATAAAGTGAAGTAAGTTAGGTGGTACATAAAACGACTTTTGTTGCTATAAGTTGAATGAAGAAGACATGAATGTGTGCGAGGATTATAGAAATACCTATCATAGCAACCGACTACAATTTTCAAAATTAATTGACACATTTTGAGTATTCCGCAAATATTTCAAAGACTTCCGAAAAAAAAATAAGTTTGGATCGTGCGTGTAATTTCAAAAAAATCTGTTATCAGATACCAGTTTGAATCTTGAAAATGAATTAATAATGTGTGTCTAATGACAGTACAGCGTTAAGGCTGCTTTATGACTTTTGACATATTTTTCAAGTGATATCAATCAAGTCAGGCTTTAGTGCTGTACTGCCGTTAGATGCCCACAACAGTAACAGAGTTATTTAAAAAGATACTTCACTGATATTATCGTTTTAGGATTTACTATCGCTGGATGCGAAGACGCGGCAACATCGTCACCTATTTTTCCGACCTTCGAAACGTGCACCATTTTCTCCCCTTTTGCTTGTCAGCAGTGTTGCCGTTATGCAAGTAATTACTTGCATTCGCAAGGAATGAGGAGCCTTGCAAGGAATGGGTGCTCTGAAAGAATTTGCAAGTAATTGACGCGATATTGATATACTAAGTGACATATAAATCCGAACACCCAGTTTAAATGGATTTATTTTAATAAAATTTTGTATAAGTACTTAATGAAGCATTATAAGTAAATGATAAAAATTTCAAAATGATTGCACTGCTTTAAAGGCCTTTGACCTTTAATAATGTGTGGATGCACCCTGATATGCTACGCATTCTCCAACGCGCCTAGGCATGCTTCTGATCAGGTGGTCAATGTCCTCCTGTGGTATCTCATTCCAGGCAACCACCAACTCCTCTCGAAGTGCTTCTAGAGTCTGAGGAGGACGTTGCAAATTGAGCAATCTCCTACCCATCATATCCCACACGTGCTCAATTGGGGATAAGTCGGGAGATCTTGGTGGCCATGGTAACAATGTGACATCATTATGTTGAAAGAAGTCTATTGTGACTCTTGCAACATGTGGTCGGGCATTATCTTGTTGGAAAGTTGGATCTGCCAGGGTGTCAAGATAGGGTAAAAGATGGGGTTCTAGAACTTCGTGGATATAACGCTGCGCGTTCATGTTACCTCTGATGAAGATTAAAGGTGACCTGGAACCATAAGCTATAGCACCCCAAACCATAACTCCAACAGTGTGATGAACATGTCTTTCAACAAAAAACTGTGGATTCCTCCTTTCACCACGTCGCCTTCTAACCCTGGCACCGTTGTCTGCACCACTCAAGGCGATTACGTCGGTGTTCTCGAGTTAAAGGGAGGACCCAGTGTGGCCGGTATGAAAACAAGCCAAAACTTCTCATTCGTCGGTAAACACTTCGCATGCCAATAGGTCTTCCGTGTTCTGCAAACCATTCATTTGCAATGGACCTGGTAGTGGAGAAACGGTCCTTTAAGGCCAATAGTCTTAGGCGGCGATCTTCACGGTCTGTTGTTCTACGGCGGCGTCCAGTGCCCCTTGCTCTTTGCGTACGGCCTTCTCGAAGCCATGCCTGACAACACCTAACCACAGTGACTACACTTCTTTGCACTCTAACTGCAATTGCCCGAAAAGAAAGTCCAGCTTCCCGAAGTCCCACTATACGGCCCCTATCAAACTCACTAAGTTGACGAAATCGTACAGGTCTCCGTACTCTAGGCATCGTAACCGATCGTAAAGGATTTCAATAACCAAAATCCGCCAACGTTGATTCTTTACTGCGGCTGAAATATTCATTTTTAGAGCGTTAGTGAATTAAAAAAAAGCAGTATAAAAACCGGAATGTCCAACTGATAAGGCTGAAAATTTTTTCACTTGTTATTTACAGTAAGATAAATACATTCACCAACTTTTATTAAAATAAAACCATTTAAACTGGGTGTTCGGATTTATATGTCACTTAGTATATTTTACTGATACTAAAATTGTGATAGGCTTATTACTAATATTGCCAGTTTCAAACGAAAGTGTAGAGAGAATATTTAGCGTACTCAAAAACGACGGACCACAGAAATCTGAGACTTTGGTGGGTATCCTGTGTACAAAAGATGGACTGTACTAAAATTGATACCCGATGAAAACATGTTGAAGGGATGTTCCAGCTTAGCTAGTAATTCTGAGAATTGAGTTAGGTGGTCTCAAGATGCAGTAGTCCTCCATAGTGACGATAATGGTGTATCTCGAAAAAAGGTTTTGTGCGCAATATTTTTATAACGTTTCTGGAAATTTAAAATCTAGTTTGATACTAATTTGGACATATTCCCGATTTATGGTTTTATTCATTTTTTTGAAGTTTCAAGATAGAACCTGCAATTATCACGTTGAAAGCTACATGATTTGCCATACTTTCCCACAAGATTAGTGTCGACCAAATAAGGGTTTAGCTGAAATTACCCTGAAAATACACTATACAAAACGAAATGATTAATATACTTAATATAACGATATTCATTGGTCTAATTAGAAAGAATTAAATATTTTCTGATCTCTACTCCGGTAGTAAGCACTTATTGTTGGTTCTATGTTATATGGTTCTATGGCAATAATTATTTCTATTTTGTTTAATTTATTATTTGCTGGTTATTAGAATATTTTTTATTTTTATTTTTTAGTTTATAGTATTTCAATGTATCTCAACAACAGTTCTGCGCGATTATGAACTGGCTCAGGTTTAGACCCTTCCATAACTGTTGGAACAAACTGTACATTTCCTGATGAACAGTGCAATAGATTGACAAGACTACTGTACCAAAGTTTTATATTTATTCATTCCGGAACTTAGCTTTTGTTTGTAAGCGATCTTTAACTATTTAAACCAATATATTATATAATATGAATCGTATTTAAAATTCATATAAACTAGGCGCTACCCTAAATAGTAGCATGACCCTTTAGGAATTTTATTCTTTGCGTTTGGAACGTACTACGTTTATTAACGGTGTAGCACCACCTTGGGCTCCATAAAGCCGCTTAGCACAGCGCTGGGGTTAAACATGGCCGTGCTGACTGAAATATCAATACTCACCGTGAGTCAATTAGTCGGCAGATATACATCCATCTTTGCTTAGACTTAGACTACCGAACACTGAGCAGTGGAGGTCTTACGTTTTAGATAAAGACATATATACTGATCTGCTTGGTATGAAAATTTATTCATAGCACCGGTTCACAAAAAGTTCATTCGGCGATAGAATTGGACATGCAGGAGATTTCAATAGTTGTCATTACTCAACACTTTGAATTTTGCAATTAATTGTAAGTAAAACTGCCCGGTATTTGCAAGTAATTTGGCCACAACGCTGAGGCAACACTGCTTTTCAGCTGCGGCGCGGATAATAGTCGTTTTATATTTGTATTTAATTTTTGAATAATCAGAATTTATCAATTAATTTTTGTGCGTCATACAGTTTCAGAACTTTTTACTTTTGTGATTTGTATTTTAAATTTATTTTTCATTTTTTTCAAATTGAAAGACGGCAGGAGGGAGGGAAGGGACTCGATATGCAGCCTGCATTAACGTTTTGACAAATTAATCCATTTTTTCCTATATTAGTCAGTTACAGATCGCTGCTCTAGCTATTTCTGTTTAATGATGACAAGTGTTGCAAAATTTTGAGGTAAATTCTACTTTTTAACCATTTCCGAAGTGGAAATCGTCGAGTCGCTGTGGCACTCTTTCTCCAAAGAAGTCCGCAATGTTCCTCGCATCCCGTTGCTGTCAACAGTGAACTCTAGATAGGCAAACCGATTATACAAACTTTTCTTGGTTGTCTAAGGTGGTTCTGTTTAGATGGATAGCCGGTTCGGAACACCCCTTAATGTTGTTTTTTTTTGTCAAGATGAATGTTCACATAGTAGATGTAGCTATGAGATATACACATTTTCTAACTTTTGTTTTTTAATTTCACCAGATCAGTAGGTTTTCAAAAAATAATACAAATCTAGGTAACCCTAGGTATGTAGATTTCTGGTTTCGTGAGAACGGTTAGCATCGCAGACAAAAGCCAAGCGGAAAATAAACTGAGGAAAAAGAAAATATGTAGTTTAAACCTTTTGGATGATACTGACCTTGAGGTAAAACGTCTTTGTGCAGATTAAAATCCAGTCACATCAATGATTACCGTACGGGATAAATATTTTCATGAACCGCTTTTACCCCCAAGTGGTGCCAGGATAGAAAACAATCTATACCACATTAGTTAGGTTTCTTGTGAATAACGATCCTCCACTGCGACTTCTCACCTTAGTTAAGATAGTTGAAAAACGTTTGTATCTGTTATCTGTGATATTGGAGCGACTTTTTTTCAAAGGCTGAACAAGCAGTGTTGTCTGCAGAAATAGACTAGAAGCCGATAAAGTTACAAAAATAATGTTTTGTAATATTTGTAATTTGTAGTTAATTTACATTTTCATTTTAGTATTGTTTTATTTCTTCATGAGTCGCAATGTGTGATCTTTTTTCGTTAATTTTTATTTTTTATGGTTTTATAACTAGCATCATTTATCGTCTCTTTTATAACTCCCAGGAAACCAGTTATATGTACAACCTTCAGCTTACTGTTGTGTTCTGTCTCCTTTCTTCTATATCGTTCTCGTTCCTTCAATCACCACTAATTTGATTTGATCATCGGGATCCTGTAATTCCAGTCGTTCGTACTGAACGAGTGGACCAGTTTATCAAAGAATGATGAAAAAGCTCACTTAGTTCAGTCATAAGAACCGGTGGATTGCACCGGTTCGTTGACGAACCACACTCCACTAGTTAGAGAGTTTGAGTCAGGACCACGATTTTTGAGAGTTTCATGAAGAATAACAAATAATTTCTCATTCAAGAACGCAGCTTTTTTAGAGAGCCGAAAGTTAGTTTATATTGAAACCATCTCTAAAAGACAAAAAACTTAATACCGGCAGGGCTATTATGTAAAAAAACCTAAAGAACGTAAGAAACCGACGAAATGTCATCTTCCAGACTATTTAGTTTTTAGTGTGCAAATAGTTCATAGTTCGCTGACGTTTAAGCAACCCATACAGCTACAAAACGAGTTCACAATATGTGTACAACAGCTTGTGCTAAGTTAACATCTTGCAGAAAAGCCTAGGAAATGTGAAAAAACCGAAACAATGTCACTTTTCAAGCTTAAAGTCAGGCAAATTGTTCTGAAGTTCAACACGGTCAGGATGGGAGGCCAAAGTCAAAGCCCGTTGACATAGCGGTAGACAAAAGCCAGACTGCCGACTGCCTGTCGGTACGAAAGGGTTCCGAGACTGTCCGTTAGAGAACACACATCGGTCATTCGAATAGCTCTTCTCTGAACTGCACCAAGCACAAACGTGTACTTATGAACAAACATTTTTTGTGAGATACTTCTGTATTGAGATTTTGCCTCTGTGGCTGCCTAAATAAAAAAAAATCATTCAATGTAAGTGACTCGATTGAGAATTTATTTAGTAGTTGTCAAGTAGCACTCAAATCTCAAAGCATCACAATTATCCACTGTTTACTTTCAACGATCGTAAAACCAGCGGCGAAGGGTTTAGACTTTAAACTTTAAAGCTTTCCATAAACATCTTAACCGAGACTACCTTCATTTGTTTACTGCACGCATCGCGCCACATGGCCTACGTAGAGAGAGTCCATAAATTATACGAAATTGTAAAACGGTCTACAAAGACGCCCGTTTTTTCATTTTCCGACGGGCCATTATCGATGTTTGTAATCGTAAATTCCTTCAAAGTAAACCAAGTAGCAAATAAAAATTGAATCGTTTCAATGTAACCGAGTGATTTCAGAAACACGTGTTACTTGCCTGCTACTGTAAACAAAAACGATGGGATTTTGATTGTAAATTTCGTTAATAAGACTTGAGCTTGGTTTGTTCAGGAAGCGGTTTCCAAATATTTACCGATCGGATATATTTGTATTTGTTTGGGTAATTTGAAAAATGTTTCCTCGGTTGGTTCAATTTCAGTTCATTGTCATCATTTTCAGCTAAGGAAATAGTTAATGTGATGACAAAGAGTTTTTTCAGACAGAAACATTTTTAAGAAGTCAACTATATCGTTATAATTTTATAATATACACACAGGGCCCAAAGATGTCTTGTCTTAAGTAAGAAAAATTTACTAAGTGAAAATGGCGTCAAGTAGATTGACTCTCTACTTCCTATACCTTCGTTGGACGTTTCAAAGGAAAACGATAAGTCAAATCGTTTCAAAAGGCGAAATCGAATCGTGCATAGCATCACTGAGATCAGCAGCTTCTTAATAATAGGACTTTCATTGAAACCAAATATACAGCAATTTACAACCATTTACCGCATATAGCTTCCAACCTTAAATTTTCATTCCCTCCAAACATTGTGCGAAAATGAGCAGAAATCACTGAAACACAACACTATGTTCCAGCGACTTCATTTCCGCCGCTTCTGAATCAGGAGTGCCTAAACGATAGAAGCATTAAACTTACGATAGTATTCGAACTTCGGTTCACAAGTTTTATGTTGCTTAAATATTTCTGCACCACACAAGACCGTGTTTCTCATTTATATCGGTTTGTCAGTACGTGTCTGTTGTATATCAATGCGTCATAACTACTGAGTCAATCTATTTGATGAAATATTCAGAGAAATAGATGAAATGGTTGTTACATTTAAAGATCATAAAATGCAAAAACATATGTGTAGGATTTCAAGTCATCATTTACAAAAACATCGCATAACACTAAAATGGTACGCACTACTAACATCCAAATATTGCTTAAATATATTAATATTTCTCCTATAGCTGTCAGTGACAACACCACCAGTTGGAGTTTGTTACCCATTATAGCACATTATTCATATGACTCTTATCATTCCATTTCCCCATGGTTACCGGAATCAGAAGCTTCTTAATGATAGAAGGACTTTGACTAATACTAAAGACGTTACATTTACAATCCACAAATTTAAGTGATTTTAATTTTTTCCTGTTTTTCCCCCTAGCTCCGCCAACACTAGATCGATTTTAAAAAAATACAAAGCTTTTCATCCTTGGCACAGCAGAAATCTTGTGTGAAAATTCCATCAAAACCCCAGCGGTACTTCTCAAGTTATCGGCCTAACCCAAAAGAAACGTATACAAAAAATTGTATTAAATTCTTTATTACCGGGCGCTCTTTTCTCTGCAACTTAGTATATCACATTTTTTATCAATATTATCAGACTGCATTCGATACCTACCTTTAGACCCTCCTATACTGTTTGGTGTAGATCTAGAAGATGCTTTCAGTCTTTGCGCCGTACTGCTTTGACTTGATACATCCACACTGGAAAAAAAAGAAAGAAAAACATTCAAAAATGCCGTCAATTTTAATCAAAGCACGCGAAAAGTAAGTATTTAATCTAGTGCAATTTCTAGGATCAATGCTAGCATATAATAGTATATAAAATGTAAATCCGTTAGCAGTATGCATTCCTCGTTTCTACGTTTGGTTCAGACTAAACATAATTAGCAAAAATAGGCAGTTAAAATTATAGGATGTTGAAACGATGAACCGTAAATCAGCTATTCTTCATTAATCCTAGTTTCACTTTGATTACACCAAACAGAATGTTGATGAGTTACAATTTGAGTATATCTGAAAATGAATTTGAATTTGAATACGACGTATCTGCTCTTGCTAGAACAATATCCAAAACTGAGCCAACCAAAGAGATACTATTTTTTGTCAAATAGTAACATTTTTTTTATTCATACATTGCCACAAGCACATTAAAAAACGTCGTCAACTAAGTTGACTCTGCACTTCATACGCAACGCCATCATCTGTTTATATAGGATTAAGTTTAACACAAGTTAAACCCTCTTACAATAAAATTAGTTACAAAAAAATACAATAGAGAAATTAAACGGATCACGTCAATCAAACAGGCGCATACAATTTGTCCAGAGACATTTTTTCCCTGCCCTACCGGTAGTTATCGTCCATCTGGCAACGTTGCCCCTTCCCAAATCGTCAGACATAGTTCAGCGAAGCACCGCCGCCGCGCGCTGAGCCCAGAAAGCAGAAGAAGATGCGTATCGGAAACATCTCTCTACGATTCTGAGTTCAAATGAGCGGGGAAACCTATAATGTGTGAAATATAGCTAATAGGTGCTTAAAGGCCGGCTGTAACAGGTGTCATTTTAGACTGTCATCGATGCCAGAAAGATATTTCCTTGCCTGGTGCATCTATTTAAGTATTTTGCTGAAATGTTTTTTTTGCAATTCAGGATAATATTGACAAGCGTTTAGTTTCTAGGTTTCATAGCGAATAGCGATTATATAGCAAAACGGCTTAGGCTGACTGAAAACCAAATACCACTGACGTCATAATATGTACGACAGTAGCGATCCGGGTACGAGGTCACGGATGCCACCGGCGCACTCTTTCTAACACATATTGCATACTGAACCTGTCCGCATATAGTAAACCGGTACTTAAATATAACTTTGACAGACTGGGCGGAAATTATTCTTCGGTTTTTCATAATAATGATCAGAGTGAACTTCTCCGAAGAAGAGAAGGAAACACTATTATATGCTGAGAAATAGCATCAGCAAAAGTTATTTGCTTAGCCGTTATATAAGCCCTCTACTTACTTTTGTTATGTTTTCCCATAATTCTTGCATGCTCTCTTCGCCCTGCTTTATTCTCATTTTGGATCCTTATAATGTTATTCCAATCACGGCTTTTTATAATAGAAAAGCTACCTGTTTGCTTTATTTTCAACTATTCCTTTTAACTTGTTTAGGGCCGCATCCATGATTTTCATAGTCTCTGCTATTGTGAGCGAGTGACGTATTGTATATACGTATTATATTTTCTTTTTTAATCTCAAGAAATTTTTGGCTGACCAAACAGATGCTAAAAATCAAGTTTTATCAGCCTGAAATTTCTTAGAATCCAAAAAGAAAACCTCAAAATAGAGCGCTGACACGGAACAGTGGACATATAGAAATACCCCTTTTTTGAAGGACAGGAAAAACTATGAAAATCAAGGAGGCAGGCCATAAAGGCGTCTTACAATACGTCCGAATTGTAGAAACAACTGACAGTATGTCCCTTAGTCTTCTCGTATTAAACTTTGTTCTGAGTAAAATAATTATCAAGTTGCAAAACCTTCAAAGCCAGTATTGCAATACTGGTTGCCTACATTCGCTATAAAATTGTCAAGGAATCTCTATAAATGTGACTCTAAAATCAAATTTGACATCAGATTAAACTTTGACATTAAACACTAGATACTTTCGTTTCCTCTATATGCCTATTGTCTTAAAATATCTGTATTTAGAGGTAGAGACAGCAGTTCCCGAGAAAAATAGATAACAGACCGTCCTCCGAAAAATGCTGTAGTAAACGTGTGTTCGGTATGGCATCATTTGTAAAGCAGAGACAGCCGTAAGACGAATGTGGTTAAATACTTTGACGCTATTAATCCAGCAAGCTGTGGCAGCTACCGAAATAAACCACGGCGCGGTCCTAGACTGCCGTGAGAATGACATATTATATCCCGATGCCGAACTGCCTCCGTATGAAGCAGGCGTGCGTTGCTATTGTTTGAATTTTGACAGCGGATAATTTATTGTTAAATAAACATCGGGCATGGCGTTGGACGGGAGCACGGCGCGGTCTTCGTTTGTTTTTGGCTCGACAAGTGTGAGCTAATAGCGTCTTAATTGCTTCTCGCTCACGCTGATGAGCATTATTGCCAATGAATCATTGGATTGGATAACGGGATTGATATTTTTTCTAACTGCGTCGGAGCCAGCAAAACAGAACAGATAAATGTAGATAGATGCTACACAGTTTTTCACAACACGTAAGCAATTGCCATGCCAACCTGTTTTCGAAAATTTTCCAGTTTTTAAATTTGATATCAAACGAAAATGCCGTTTTTAAGAATGTATTAAACACCTAATTTATCACAAATTTATGACCATGACGACTGGGCTATGGTGAATCGCGCTATTGACTCTCCCTCTGCCTCCCCTGCTCTCTGTCCGTGTATTTTTCTTCGAGTCGTCGAGTCCAGAAGGGTTCTAGACAGAACTCGAGTTTTCTTCGAAGCCTGATAGATGGCGGTCCATGTTTCCCGACGCGTCACGAAAATTTAGGTATCGCATCGCGAGTTCGCGTTTTTAAAAAAGGTTTTGCAGGCGATTTGGTACACTTTATTTAGTTAAAGTACAAGTTTCGTTTCAGGCAACAATGGTTTTGTTACCAAACCTAAGACTACGTGAGCTTACAAGCGATTGACTAATAGATGTAACCTAAAGTAATAGCTGATGTAAACTTATGCCTAAAGGGCACAAACCAGAATTTATAATATGGGGTTGTTTATAAAGACAAGATATAAGTAAACCAATTAGGGAGATATACGAGGGGCTCTCGCTATATAACTCGAACGTTGCCGAAGCCCCGATCTACGAGGTTGTCTGATTGGTGCTTGAGGTCTAATTCACGAGGGCATTACAATATTAAATTTGGCAAATTAATTGCTGGATTCCAAATCTACGGTACGATATGGAATATAGCAAACCAAATTATTCAGATATACCAAAGGGCGATGGCGAATCATTTTGGCGTTTTGGCATAAAATTGTGCAAAAAATCTTACTAACTAGCAAGGTTCGGAAACATTGGTCCAAGGCAATTGATAAAAAATTATTTTCTTGAACACGCGGAATCATTTAGTTAGTTATTCGTGTTTGGAACTAATTGCAGACGCTAGAATTCTATGTTGTGGATCTACCTATGCCTTGTTGGCGGATTACATGAAATCCGCGAAGCCAGACATGAGACTAGTAAAATCCAGACGGACCTATATGCTTTTGTACCTATACCAGGTGTTATTAACTTATATCCCAGACAAAACACATTTTTCGTCTAACTTCAAGGTTCCGAGAAACGTTGCTAATTGCTACTTATCCTGATATTTTTGCATGTTATTTCAAACCTTTGACAAAATGGATGAAAGAAATAAAAATAATCTGTGGCCTGGGGACAAAAAAAACGAAGTCAAAAGTCATTGGGAAGTACCCATTACCCTCTCTCAAAAATCCTTCATTACCCGTGATCTAGATAAAAATTCGTGGAGAGGTAGAGCTTTGACACAGCAGTGACAGTAATTCCTGACAAATGTCAAAGTCACAGTTCTATAATGATCAATTGTTGCCTCCTCGATATGCATGCCTAAAAAAGCTAAAAATAACTTAAGCGTCGCATCGTCGGTGAATGTCGTTTGTTTTGGTGCAGTTGTTTCAAAGCCGCCTGTGATTATGTCTGTAGTGTCGGATTTGGAATGGATTTAAGGTGTCCCGCAAGCGCGCGGTTGTCAAATAACTCACCAGGACGAACTGTTTTATGGTGTTTACGAGCAAATTACCTCAAATTATTAGAAAACCCGCCAACCCGACTCGCTGTTTACGATCGACTTTATTAGGCGGGAAGAATACTGGGACGGCGGCGTAGGGTACAAAGATGTCAATAGGCGGGCAAGGATAATGCAACATTATACCCGCGTAAGGGAGAAAATGGATCAAAATAACTTATTGATTGACGTATTCCACCTGAAAATACCCAATTGAAAAAGGCATTGGGGAGGCCAAACAGGGATGGAATATCCTAGTGCCATCTATGATACAGCGTTTAAGAGATTCCTGCTTATTTTCAGACATGGTTTGGAGTTGATGAAAATGTTAGTTTGGAAGCTGTATGCGGTAAATGGTAGTAAATTGTTGCATATTTGATGTCAGTGAAAGACCTTTTATTATTAAGAAGATGCTGATCTGCCAACAGAAATATGATGAATTTGCTTTATTTAGTTTGATATGCAGAGGTCGAAGATTCATCGTACATAATCAAGATTCGATTTCTCCTTTTGAAACGACTTGACTCATCCCTCTCCTTTAACACTTACAACGAATGCGTAGAAAGTATAGATTCAATCTATTTGAAGACATTTTTTAAATCAATTTTTTAACAGGGATATCGGATTCCGGTATAAATACTCTATTGAGCAATATTTGAAAGGTCCCTTCAATTCTACGCCTCTGTTGCATCAAACCACCGAAAATATCGTCGTTGCGGCTGATCCGTCTCCACGCCAAAGCCTGCTAAGCTTCTGTTTGAAATTAAATACGTATTAACGTGACAGTTTTTGTTTATTGTGCTTGTTTAGAATGCGATAACAATAATAAATTTTCAAAGCAGTCTCCAATTTAAACAACGTTTTTCTGATGATTTAACCGCGCGTTTTTTATTTTTCGTACCGTGCCATAGTC